CACTCACCTCAGCCTCCCAAAGGCGCGGAATTACAGGCTGAGCCACCGAGCCCGGCTCTAATTTTTTGATTTATTGTAGAGACGAGGTCTTGCCATGTTGCCCAGGCTGGTCTTGAACCCGTGGGCTCAGGCAATCCACTCACCTCAGCCTCCCAAAGGCGCGGGATTATAGGCTGAGCCACCGAGCCCGGCTCTAATTTTTTGATTTATTGTAGAAACGAGGTCTTGCCATGTTGCCCAGGCTGGTCTCGAACCTGTGGGCTCACACAATCCTCTCACTTCAGTCTCCCAAAATGCTGGGATTATAGGCGTGAGCCACCATGCCCTACCCAAGCCATCATTTTAAATGTGAACTTCTCTTCCTTCCAACGTTGCAGTTGTCTACCCCTTCTTCTGGGAAAGTGTAACAGAACATGTAAATTCCAGAATGTTATCTAAAAAACGTCAGCCTGACCAGGAGACTCTCATGGTCAGAAATTGTGAGTCATGCTGAAACTGTACATAGTCTTCTTAATCTTACCTCGGGGTGGGTAAAGGGCTATGAATTTTGGGTATAAATACTTGAATGAGTCTGCGTTGCTTTGAGTGGATTTTTGGTAATGACGTGTACTGTCTTTCTGTAAGCTGATGGCAAAGATTAGACTCCCTTCTCTCCCAGCTTCTGCCTCTCGTCTTTGACTGCGAGGACTGGCTGGCTTGTTAGACCTGACACACACATTCTTAGACCTTGGCCTGGTAAGGAAAGATAAATGCTGTGGTCTTGGTATTGGGAAACGGTTCCAGAACTCAGTGGCTGTGAAGAGAGCTCTCCAGACTAGAGCTAAACAGAAAGCTCTTATTTATTTTTATTGTATTCATTTTAGAGTCACGAGATACATATGAGTATTTGTTACATAAGTAAATTGCGTGAGGGTGAGCCCCTTTGCGCTAGCTCTGCTCACCCTCTCCCCACTGTTATTTCTTCAGGCCAGGGAAATTAGAGGAGGCGGCTTTGGTTGGTCCTGGAGGTGGAGATGGAGGGAAGCAAACCGAAGACGCTGTGTGAAATGGGTGCGCGTGTTAACTTGCAGCCAAGCAAGGGGAGCTCGTCAGTCTCTGTGTGCCTTGCCCTTCCAGGTCTTCACAGCAGTATCGAGTCAGGCAGCTTTGACACGTGAAGGCCGCGTCGCAGAGACGTAAAGGAAGAGTGCTGCCAAAGTATTCCAAGCAACATCCTCCATCCCAGGGGTGCACGTCTTCCGTAGGAAAGCGCTCCGCGTTTCGTAGAGGCATTAGAAAGGTATCCAAGCAGCAACGAAATGGCAGGGGACATTGGCTCGAGGGGCTTTCCTGGGCTACATTTTGCTAGAGCCACTAAATATCACTAGATGGGTTGTATGATTCTGGTGTGGCTTCACATTGACATGTAAGGGGTAGAGAGACCATGGTCTCTGCTTGCAACAAAAATGTATAACCAAGGAGAAATTCTGAAACAGGTATAAAGACTGCTGTCAGACACTGCTCTGGATTTCAAGCGGCTTCTTCCTGGATCATGAGACAGCTGCTATATTTATTTTTCTTAGGACCATGGATAATAAAACCCAGAATGCTGATGGCATCGATTTTCCTTTCCCCTTCACACCCTATTCCATCCAGAAAGACTTCATGACAGAGTTATACCAGGTTTTGGAAGCTGGCAAGATTGGAATATTTGAGAGTCCAACCGGCACCGTGAGTATGACTAGTGAGAGGCCGTGATTAAGACAACGTAGTGGCGGAGATTTTCATGTTTGCCTCTGTTTGCCTTTGCAGAGATTTTCCTGGCTTAAAGCTGTTGGGCAATGTAGTCTCTCAGTTTATCGTTCTGGGTAATGGTCACTTCTGTTCAAGTGCTAAACTCAGCTTGACGGTCTAAGAAGAATTAGGCTGAAGGTCAGCAAGTTTGGATGGCAGTGGAAACTGTGACCCGTCACAGGGAAGCTCTCCAGAGTCTTCTGGGCACACAGCTGGTTTGATATTGAGAAGTACAGAGGCTGGGTGCGGTGGCTCATGCCTGTAATCCCAGCACTTTGGGAGGCCGAGGTGACAGGATTGCCTGAGCCCATAGGCTTGAGAACAGCCCAGGCAACTTGGCGAGACCTCATCTCTATAATAAATAAAACAATTAAAGCCAGGCTCGGAGCTCAGCCTGTAATCCTGCGCCTTTGGGAGGGTGAGGTGAGTGGATTGCCTGAGTCCGCAGGTTCGAGACCCGCCTGGGCAACTTGGTGAGACCTCATCTCTACAATAAATCAAAAATTAGCTGGGCGTGGTAGCACGCACCTGTAGTTCCAGCTACTTGGAAGGCTGAGGCGGAAGGATCACCGGAGCCCAGCAGGTCGAGGCTGCGGTGGCCGGGAGCGGCCACTGCACTCCAGTCTGGGCGACTGAGTGAGACTCCAACTCAAAAAATAAATAAATAAATAAAACAATTAGCTGGGCATGGTGATGCGTGCCTGTAGTTCCTGCTGCTTGGAAGGCTGAGGCGGAAGGATCACCGGAGCCCAGCAGGTTGAGTCTGCGTTGGCCACGAGTGCCACTACACTCCAGCCTGGGCAACAGAGTGAGACTCCCACAAAAAAAAAAGAGAAATACAGAAGTTATTTGGGCTTTTCACAGATTGAGCACAATGTTTTGGTCTCTAGGAACTAGGTTAACGAACGCTAGAGGTAGTCAATCAGGGGCCCCTAAGTTTTGCCTCCTAACCTGGAGCGAGGGAGGGACCTATGAGAGGCTGGCCGTTGGGGATGACTGGGGCCGAGGCAAGTGGTCCCCAGCGGCCTTCCTGCCCTTTGTTTATGACGTTTTGCAGCAAATGCTGTGTGCCGGCGAAGTGTGTATATTGATGTGAGGCCCCAACTGGGCCGAGACCTCCTGCAGTATGAGAACCTGGGGGCCTTTTTGCCATGTCCATGTCCTCCAGCAGACTTTGGCAGGTTTAGTCCATAGGAGGCTCTTACTTTTTGTTTTGTTTTTGTTTGTTTTGAGTTGGAGTCTCACTCTGTCGCCCAGACTGGAGTGCAGTGGCCACTCCCGGCCACCGCAGCCTCGCTCTACTGGGCTCCGGCGATCCTTCCGCCTCAGCCTTCCAAATAGCATGAACTGCAGGCACGCACTACCACGCCCGGCTAATTTTTGATTTATTGTAGAGATGAGGTCTTGCCAAGTTGCCTGGGTGGGTCTCAAGCCCACGGGTTCAGGCAATCCACTCGCTTCAGCCTCCCAAAGTCCTGGGATTACAGGCTGAGTCACCAAGCCTGGCCCTTTTCTTATAGTATTATGATGATTGTTCAAGGTCTGATTATGAGTGACCACATGTGGTACTCAGTTCTTGGTTTCTGTGATAAATCACTCAGTATTATAGACTCCCAAGCCCATCCAAGTTGCTGTGAAGTTCATAATTTTGTCCTTCTTTTGGATGCATAATAATCAATCATGTATTCCACTTTTTTTTTTTTTGAGTTGGAGTCTCACTCTGTCACCCACACTGGAGTACAGTGGCCGCTCCCGGCCGCCGCAGCCTTGACCTGCTGGGCTCCGGTGATCCTTCCACCTCAGCCTTCCAAGTAGCTGGAACTACAGGCGTGTTTCTACCACGCCTGGCTGATTTATTTATTTATTTATTGTAGAGATGAGGTCTCACCAAGTTGCCCAGGCGGGTCTCGAACTCACAGGCTCAGGCAATCCACTCACCTCAGCCTCCCAAAGCGCTGGGATTACAGGCTGAGCCACTGAGCCCGGCTAGATCTTATCTCTTATCGTCTGGGCACTTTGGGTTTTGATCAGGAGTTGGCTGCCAGTTCCGATTTCCATAGGATGTCTCCTCCATTTTCTAAGGTTCTTATAGTTTGAGGTTTTACGTTTAGTTCTCCGATCCATTTAGAGTTGATTTTTGTGTATGATGCTAGGTAAGGGTCTTGTTTTAATCTTCTGCATGTGGTCAGCTAGTTTTCCCAACACAATTTACTGAATAGGTCCTCCTCTCCCTGGTGGTGAGTGGTAGAGGCTTGTTGAAGATGAGTTTGTTAAGAAATTGACGTTTTGCTTCTGGAATCTCTGTCCTGTTCCATTGGTCTATATGTCTGTCCTTGTACTAATACCAGGCTGTTTTGATTATTGTAGCTTTATAATAAAGTTTGAAGTCTTGGGAGTATGATAAGATTATTTTCTGTTAGCATTCTTACATTCTGTTTAAACCCCATTCCATATGGCTTCATCCACTGCCAACCCCCTGAAATGTTTTTTTAGAATCACTAGTGACTTCCTGGTTTGAATATCCCGATGTGGATGTTTTAAGTTCATATTGATGACTGCTGGCTACATTAGATATTGTTGAACATATTCTCCTTTTTTGCTTAAAGTAATTTTAAAAAGTTAATCAGTGAATAATGCATATTATTTAAAAAGTCAAATTTAGAAAATTTAGTTTCTTGATTAGACCCTTAAGGTTCTTTCTCTTTTCTCTAGCATTTGCAGAAGAATACTTAAATATTCTTTTAAGCTAGAGTCTGACTGCAGGGCTCAGGGTATCCTTCCACCTCAGCCTTCCAAGTAGCTAGAACTATAGGTGTGTGCCACCACACCTGGCTAAGTTTTTTGATTTATTGTAGAGATAAGGTCTCTCCTAGTTGCCCAGGCTGGTCTGGAACCCCTGGGTTCAGGCTATCCTCTTGCCTCAGCCTCTGAAGGTGCTGGGATTACAGGCTTGAGCCACTTGCTCCCAGCTTCTTTCTTTTTTTTTTTTTGAGTTGAGTCTCACTCTGTCGCCCAGGCTGGAGGGCACTAGCTTGCTCCCGGCCACCATAGCCTCAGCCTCCTGGGCTCGGGTGATCTTCTCACCTCAACCTTCCAAGTAGCTGGAACTATAGGTACATGCCACCACACCCAGCCAATTTTTTGATTTACTGTAAGACGAGGTCTCGCCAAGTTGCCCAGGTTATCCTTGAACCCGTGGGCTTAGGGAATCCTCTCACCTTGACCTTCCAAAGTGCTTGGATCATAGGCATGTACCACTGTTCCCGGCTTTCCCGGCTTCTTTTTTTTTTTTTAGTTGGAGTCTCACTGTCGCCCAGACTAGAGTGCAGTGGCATGTTCCCGGCCACCGCAGCCTTGACCTGCTGGGCTCCGGCGATCCTTCTGCCTCAGCCTTCCAAGTAGCCAGAACTATAGGTGCGTGCTACCTTGCCTAGCTAATTTTTGAGTTTTTGTAGAGACGAGTTCTTGCCAAGTTGTCTGGGTGGGTCTCGTACCTGCGGGCTCAGGCAATTCACTTGCCTCAGCCTCCCAATCCCAGCCTGTGCTGAGCCACCGAGCCCAGCCTATTTACTTATTTAAGTCAGGGTCTCCCTCTGTTGCCCAGGCTGGAATGCAGTAGCATGATCACGGCTCATCACAGCCTCAACTTCCTAGGTGCAGGTGGTCCTTTCGCCTCAGCCTCCTGGGCAGCTGGGCCTACAGGTGCACACCACTACATCCAGCGAGATGCTGCCCAGGCTGGTCTAGAACTCCAGGGCTCAGGCAGTCCTCTCACCTTGGCCTCCCGATGGGTTGGGATGACAGGTGTGAGCTGCTGTGCCTCGCCTCCCGTCCTTGCAGTATAGTCAGTTCTCCGTGTTTAGTCTCTGCTAAATCAGCCAGCATATTATGCTTATGTTTTTTCCTTGAACAATTTTTTATTTTTCTAGAGCTGAGTATTGTCTTTTTTAGGTTTGTTTAGTTCTTTGTTTTTTTTTTTTTTTTTTTTTTGAGTTGGAGTCTCACTCTGTTGCCCAGGCTATAGTGTAGTTATTTAGTTTCTAATATGCCTGTGCCAGTTCCTCCCATAGCATACGATGGAGTGGATTTCAGTATGATTTCCTATTATAGAAAATTACTGTCTTACTATGGTTTGGCTGCAGTAACAAAATACCATATGTTAGGGTTCAGAGGGGTGCAACACTGTCAGAGCTGGCATGCCAGAGGCATGTGCTGGTAATGAGAAATCCGAGTAATACAAAGATTTGCAACACACAAAGAGATGAAGAAAGAAACGATTTATTTAGTTATTTGTTTGTTTTGTGTTGGAGTCACGGCCACCACAGCCTTGACCTGCTAGGCTCTGGCAATCCTTCTGCCTCAGCCTTCCAAGTAGCTGGAACTACAGGCGTGTGCCACCATGTCCAGCTAATTTTTTGATTTATTGTAGAGATGAAGTCTCGTCACGTTGCCCAGGTTGGTCTTGAACCTGTGGGCTCAGGCAGTCCTCTCACCTTGGCCTGCCTCCCAGAGTGCTGGGATTATAGGCGTGAGTCACCACACCTGGCCAGAATATATCACTTTTATTTATTTTTATTTTTATTTTTTTTGAGTTGGAGTCTCGCTCTGTCGGCCAGACTGGAGTGCAGCGGCCGCTCCTGGCTGCCACAGCCTCGACCTGCTGGGCTCAGGCGATCCTTCTGCCTCACCCTTCCAAGTAGCCGGAACTACAGGCGTGCGCTACCAAACCCGGCTTATTTTTTGATTTATTGTATTGATGAGGTCTCACCAAGTTGCCCAGGCAGGTCTCGAACCCACGGGCTCAGGCAATCCACTCACCTCGGCCTCCCAAAGTGCTGGGTTTACAGACTGAGCCACCGAGCCTGGCCACTTCCTGGTTTTGATAGAGCATGTTCCTGAGGAGGGTTGTATAGGAGGTAAGTTTTGAGGCTTTGCTCACCTGAAGATGCTCTTCTGCCTCTTCCCTTGACTGGTGCCGCTAGTTTGGCTGGGGACGTGATCCAGCTTGGAGAGAACTCCCTCTTGGCTTGTGCCCTCTGTCCTCTAGTTTCCGTGGCTGCTGGTGAGCGGTCCTGCTGTGCAGGCTGGTCGCAGACTCCTGGGCTCAGGCAGTCCTCTTGTCTTGGCCTCCCAAAGTGCTGGGATTACAGGCATGGACCACTGCGCTCGGCTATTTCTGGCCTTTGACGTCAACAGTAGTGTTCTTCGGAACAATTCATTTGCTTTAAATATATATATAAATGCTGGAGCTCATGTGACTGATCATGCTGTATCTGCAAATCGACTGCATTAGTACTTGGAGTCAACTGCAGCTCCCCCGGGCAAGTATGTGGGATTTCATGCTACGTGTTTTCAGGCCTTAATTCTTTTTTGGGGCTATTTAATCTCTCAGCTACTTCTAATTATGTTAACTTGCAGTATTTATATATAACCTGATAAAATACTTAATTTATTTATTTATTTTTAAGAACAGTGAGCTGTAAAATTAAATGATGAAGTGCTTTCTTGCATTTTGGGCCCAATTTCCCCCCTTTTCTGATTTTTACTGGCTACTGCTATTCCTTTTTTTCCTTTCCCAGGCTGATCTTAGAACATCCTCTCATATTTAAAGCCAGATCTTTGAAGCTCTTATTACAATGGGGGAAGTTTCTTTGTTTTTTCTCTGAAGGCCATTTTTCTTCCCGCAGGGAAAGTCCTTAAGTCTTATTTGCGGCGCCCTTTCCTGGCTCCGTGACTTTGAACAGAAGAAGCTTCAAGAAGAGGCCCGTCTCCTTGAAACTGGAGCTGGCTCCTTACATGATGAGAAAAATGCGTCCCCATTTCCCTCATCTTCCTGTCGAGAGGCCGCAGACGGCCTGAGGCCTGCTGGAGAACCGGATTGGGTTACCCAGTTTGTGCAAAAGAAAGAAGAACGGGACCTGGTGGACCGACTCAAGGTGCGATCTGGAGTGACAGGAAGTGGGTGCGATCAAGGAAACAGGCTTCAACAGTGATTTTAGGTTCATGGCGAGACTCAGGCGGTATGTGTTCCTGGCCTGTGCAGTCTTAGCTACCCTGTCAGCTTCCTTGAACTGATGGTGCTACCCCTTTGCTGTCTTCTTTGCGCTGGATGTCATAGGGCTTCTCCAGGCAAGGGGCTGGCGGTTGCCTTTTAGTACTTGCTGGAAAAGAAACCTAATTGTTGCTGTTGGTGGCATCATTCAGTGGCTGCACACTCAGTGAAGGAGTGATTCTGATGGACAGTGTTTGTGGCTCTGGGAGGGAGTGTGCAGACCTCTTGCAGCGAGGCTGCATGGTGCAGAGGTTAAGGGGATGTTTCAGCCCTTGGGCGCTGGCAAGAGCAGGAGAGCTGCCCCAGGCGGAGGCCCAGCAGCCGACTCCGGGAAGGCCTGTTTGGTGCTTCCTGCAGAGTCTCCTTGGCTGTCTCACCCTTTAGGCGGAGCAGGTCCAGAGGAAGAAGCGGGAGGAACGCCTGCAGCAGATCCAGCACAACGCGCAGCTCAAGTATGCGGCCAAGCGCCGGGTGAGTGGCACGCCCGGCGGGACGGGATTGTGTCCAGGCGGTGTCATACTGCTTGGAGACGCGTGGGGAGTGGCCAGGACCTCAGTCTCCCCTCCCTAGCCCGGTGGCCGAGCGCTCCTCATCTAGAAGTCAGGCAGCTGGAGAGCTGGAGGCCTGGGACCTGGGAGTAGCTCCTCCCCAGGCAGGCGGCGAGGCCTGTGTTCATGCTTTGTCCCTGGTGACAGCCATACTGGAGGCTGGCTCTGGAAAGGAGGCAGGGGCCCCAGTACTCAGGCTTCTTCCTCTTTGCAATGCTGCTACCCAGAGGCAGGAAGAAGAAGAAACCGAGAGTCTTCTCCGCCTCAGCCGGGAGATGCTGGCGGCAAGAACAGGGGCTGAGCAGCCAGAGCAGCTGGAGTCTGGGGAGGAGGAGCTGGTCCTGGCCGAGTACCAGAGCGACGAGGAGAGGAGACCCGGGAGTGGGTGAGACGGCTGCTTTTCCATCCCCACCCAAGGCCCTGCCGCGCGCCTGCCAGGGTCTTTCTTAGGGCCCAGAATGCTGAAGGCAGCGAGAGCCAGCCCTTCCTGCCTGCAGGCACTGGCCTCGTGTGTTCTCTGTGGCCTTCACAGCAGTCAGGATGGCAGAAGCATTTGTGTCTGAGCTTTGTGCACGAGGAAGCCGTGGCCCAGCGAGGTGACTTGCCTTGGCCAAGGTCACAAGGCTGGTCAGCAGAGAGCTGGGACTTGAACCCAGCCATTCTGGCTCTAGAGCTCATGCTCTTGAATACCAGGCCACACCATGCAAAGTGTATGCCATGAGCCATCAAGGCATCCTTCGTTTTTCTTTGCACCTTAAAGCTTTTGTTGGTCTTGACTTGTAGGTTTCTCCCTCATGAGCTATACTGGGTGAGGTAGAAAACACTGGATTAGGCTGGTGTGGTGGCTCACTTCTGTAATCCCAGCACTTTGGAAGGCAGAGGCAAGAGAGTTGCCTGAGTCCAGAAGTTAGAGACCAGCCTGGACAACTTGGCGAGACCTCATCTCTACAGTAAATAATAAAAACAGTAGCCGGGTAGCCGGGCTCGGTGGCTCAGCCTGTAATCCCGCGCCTTTGGGAGGCTGAGGTGAGTGGATTGCCTGAGCCCGCGGGTTCGAGACCCGCCTGGGCAGCAAGACCTCATCTCTACAATAAATAAAAAAAAAAATCAGCCGGGCGTGGTAGCGCATGCCTGTAATTCCGGCTACTTGGAAGGCTGAGGCAGAAGGATCGCTGGAGCCCAGCAGGTCGAGGCTGTGGTGGCCGGAAGCGGCCGCTGCACTCCAGTCTGGGCGACAGAGTGAGACTCCAACTCAAAAAACAAAACAAAACAAAACAATAGCCGGGTGTGGTGGCGCATGCCTGTAGTCCCAACTACTTGAGAGGCTGAGGTGGAAGGATCACCTGAGCCCAGCAGGCCAAGGCTGTGGTAACTGTGATCCTGCCACTGCACTCCAGCCTGGGTGGCAGAGTGAGACTCCGACGGAAAAGAAAACACCAGATTCTCACCAGTGCCGGTCGAGTGTCTGCGTGTGGCCCTGTCCGGATGCTGTGGCTCTAGAGGTGAACGAGGCGGACATGGCCCTGCCCTCAGAGAGCTTACGTGCACCAGACGTGCGCAAGCACAAATAGCACCTGTGTGAACTCAGCCCCCTTGCCTGCGAGGGGAGTGAGACAGGGAGAGGTGGATGGCGTGTGGGGCTGCACCTCTGGGTGAGGGGTCGGGAAAGGCCTTCCCGGGGTGCCGTGGGAGCAAGAAAGAGCCCTGGAAGGCCTGGAGAAGAGCGCCCTAGTCAGGCTGCTCTGCACCTCCTAGTGCTCCTGGGAATGGGTACGGTGTGTGGGAGGGACAGAAAGGAGGCCCAGGTGCCAGAGCAAAGCGTGAACGAGGGGGTGACACGGCTGGTGGTGTCTGTGGGCCCCAAGGCCGGGGGAGGCTGGATGGCACTCTCACGAGTGGGAGGTGTGGGGGGGTTAGCAAGGGAGTGATGGGGTCTGACTCAGGCATTGGGAAGGTCGTTTCGGCTTTGAAGGTCATGGCTCATCCCCTAAGCCAGGAGGACTGCTATGGGTTTATCTCTCTTTGGCTCCCAGCTTGGAAGGGGTCTCTCCTGCTTCTTTTTTTTTTTGAGTCAGAGTCTCACTGTCGCCCAGACTGGAGTGTAGTGGCACGCTCACGGCCACTATAGCCTCGACCTGCTTGCCTCAGCCTTCCAAGTAGCTGGAACTATGGGTGCACGCTACCACGCCTGGCTGAGTTTTTGATTTATTGTAGAGACAAAGTCTCACCATGCTGCTGAGGCTGGTCTCAAACCCCTGGGCTCAGGCAATCCTTTCGCCTCCTCCTCCCCAAGTGCTGGGATTACAGATGTGAGCCACCATGCCCGGCTATCTTCACCTTCTTGAAGTCCTCTTCTTTCAGCTGCGCTCTCTTTTTCTCATAGACCCCCAGCTTGGAAGGGGTCTCTCCTGCTTGTGTCTTAGTCGTTGGTCTGCCCCTCCTTTCCCTTGCTGGGCGACAAGCTGCTTCAGACAGGAACCACATCTTTTAATCTCACATTCTCAGAGCTGCCCTAGTGTCTGGCATATGGGTGTGATCGGCAACAGTGAGTTGACCTGAACGCACAGACACCGGTTAGTCCCAGGCCCATAGTAGAATTTCCAGGGAGAACTTCAGAAGTGCCACAATGTCAGAGGTCTGTGGATGGGCTGAAGGGGAACTGAGGCCCTCGGGAAGTTATCTACGAAAGTTGTGTGCAGGTGCATTTTACTGGTGGGAGAGGGTCTGAGACTCCACTCTTGTTGGCAGAAGGTCTGTGATGGCCCTCCCCATCCCTGCAAAGTCAAGAAGACTCTTGCACTGGACCCCCAGGGGCTGGATGGCTTCTGGCCATTTCACCTTCCATCCTCCTGACCACAGCCAAGGTCAGGAGCATGGCCCCCCAGAGATCACTGAGTGGGACTGGGAGAACACTCTGGTCTCTCCTACTTCTGCTGAGGACTTTCCAGACAGGAAGGAGGGGCCGCGTTTGTGCAGCTGTTTCCTTGCTGGCATTTTCATCCTCCAAAAGGTTTCTCCCGCCCTTTTCTCGTTTCCTAAGTGCTACCCAGAGCCCCTCGAGGGAGGGAGAATAGGGCTGCCCTGGTGGTGGAGAAGGGGGTGCAGGGGGCCATGACTTCTGCCCCTGCGCAGGGTGGAGCCAGTTGCGCTGCTCTGTATGTTTTGGGGGTATCGCGAGCAGTTTGTGCGTCACGACCCCTCCCACCCGCCTCCAGCATGGCATTCAGCTCCCCGCCTTCCCTAGACTAGGCCCCTTCGGGACAAGGTAAGGAGCTTGGTGGGGTGCGTGAACATCAGCAGAACAAAGTGCTCCTTAGGGTCTGACAGGAGCCGTTATTCTGGCAGACAGCTTCAGGACTTCCAACACCCTGGCGTTTGGAGAGAGATGAGCCTCGAAGGACATGAACTCTGAATGTGCGATTTTTGCTTTTCGTTTCTTCACACATACAGCCTCTCACTGAGCTCCTGCTGGCTTTGTCCAGGCTGTGACAAATGATTTAAGTCCAAGCCTTTGAGACAGAGCAGACTGAACACTTCTCTCCTGACCATGAAGCCAACCCTGTAATAACTCTTCTACAGCACAAGGCAGCTGAATTTCTTTTTTTGTTTTGAGATAGAGTCTCACTCTGTCGCCCAGACTGGAGTGCAGTGGCACACACTTACAGCCACTGCAGCCTTGACCTGCTGGACTTGAGTGATCCTTCTACCTCAGCCTTCCAAATAGCTGGAGCCACAGCCACGCACCACCACGCCCAGCTAATTTTTTGATGTGTTGTAGAGATGAAGTCTCACCAAGTTGCCCAGGCTGGTTTCAAACCCCTGGGCTCAGGCAATCCTCTAGCCTCAGCCTCCCAAAGTGCTGGGATTACAGGCTCGGAGTCACCGTGCCCCTCAGGCAACTGCATTTCCTTTTTTTTTTTGAGGTGGAGTCTCACTCTGTCACCCAGACTGGAGTGCAGTTCCCACTCCCGGCCACTGCAGCCTTGACCTCCTGGGCTCCGGCGATCCTTCCACCTCAGCCTTCCAAGTAACCAGAACTACAGGCGCGTGC